CTCGATTTTATCACACAACCATGTATTTTTCCCAAAGCAGTTGATTTCCAGGACTCAAATGATTTGTGATCATTGAATTGGAGACAGCATCAGTGCAGATGTATACAGGAGATGGGTGAAGGTTGTATGGGCAATCTCATTATGATACCTCTTAATTTTGAAGTGCTGAAGTTTGTAGTCTTTGTTTTAAAAACAACATAGCTGGATTTATATATAATTTTATAATTATACAGACGTAAAAGGGGGAGACAAAAATTAGTCCTGTCACATGAATCTACAGTGATCTGGGTCATCCAGAGGGCATAGACCTTTGGTCTGTAGCATTAATTTCTAACCCTGAGATAATGGCCTGCGTAAGAGCACTGTTCGGCTGTGGATAGTGGTAGTTGACAGATTGGGGTGACATGCTCAGCAGGTCATCTGCTGCTGTGTTCAGGGTTTTGCAGCCCAGAGCCAGGATACCGTCAGATCCCATTTAAGGATGGGGTGGGCAGAGCTCTGGTGCTTCCTGAGTCCTCTTTGACTTGCCTGTGTCTGTCCTCCTCTTCCCTCTATGGCAGCCTACTTTCTCATCCTCTTAAATTCACCATCTCCAGTTCCCCCTCCTTCCCCTCTGTTCCTGTGCATCTCCAGCAAATGCCACCTGCTTTTCCCCTTGCTTTCTGATACTATCATTCCAGCCTGTGTCCGTCTTTTGTTACTACCAGTGCCACCTATAATTTTCCAGAGGTCCCAGATCTAGATACCCTGGTAGGGTTGCGTGCAGTCATGATTCCCATTCACATCTGTAATTTTTGCTTGTTCAAACTGTAGATAAAGACTAACCCACTACCTTTGAATGAGGCATTTTAGGGGATTAATCTTCCTTGCTTTCAGTCTAGAGCCATTACTGTAGGCATCCTCTGAGATCAAGCAATGGGTAAATGGCTGATTTAGGCCAACTCTATAAAAATAATTGACATCTAAAGGCTATGCTGTGTTCTGCTCTGCTTCAGTGTTTTGTTGTACTCAGTCTTGCTTGATCCCACCTACCTTCTACAATTAAGTATGGGTGGATGTGCCATTTTATGGGGCTGAAATGAGATTGAAATTACATCAGTTCATAGAAGAGTGAGGAAGACTGGCTGCTCATGCTTTTTTTTTAATTTTATTTATTATATTCTGGGAATGAATAGAAGCATGATAGTGCAAGCAAGAGTGTGCAGGTTCTAGAGGCTGGGCTTCCAGCTGAAATGCAGGTTGGTGTGACTCAGACACTTCCCAGAGAAGTGCTGTCTGTAGTCCCAGTGAGCCATTAGATGCTTTTGGCCTGCATGTCAGTCTTCTGACTGATTTACAGAGTTTCTTCCTGCAGCTTTGCTCAGAGAAGGGAGGGTGGTAAACATAAACCTCCTGCTGCAGTAAGAGAGGATGAAGCAGAAATTTCTGATTATGTTTGTATGAGCATAACAGTTGGCTTTCTTTATGTACTTTGGGCTTTTTTGTTTCATTAAACTAGATGAGGAAAAGTGGATGATACCAGCAAAGAAAATACATTTGCCAACAAAATCTGGTCTTGGAACAGGCCAGGCTGACCTGCAATGAAGCAGTTGGGATGAGAATTATTTTAAAGTAAGACTTGTGTTCTTGGGAGTTTGTGATATAAATCATGGCCATGATAGATTTAAACCATGTCAAACTAGATTCATAAAATAATGACAGAACAGAGTGTCTTAAAAAGTTTCAGATGACTCAACAGACTGTACACTTTTACAAAATAATTAATAAGCCAGATACTAAAAACTGACACCAACCAATTCTCCCTACATTACCTCTATATGTAAGTCCCAGAGCTAATGTTTGAGTACTGAACTTCACATATTTGAAAAGGAGAGACTATTAAAAGAGCATGGGACTGTTTTTCAGCTCTGGTCTGAAGGCACTTGGGGGCTAAGAATGTTGTCTAATCTGTTGAAGGTAACTGGGAGAAGCTGCTTGTATGATGGAGAGATTTACATGTCTTTCGGGGTGGGGGGGAAGGTTTTGCAAATAAGAAAGAATTGCGCATCACTGGCCTGGCCGTCTCCAGCCTGGAAAGCAGCAGTGAGCCTGCATGCCTAGGATTTGATCTGCCTTTGGGTAGGCTTCAGTTAACCCCTGAGACAACCTTGTTCTCTGTATTTTGGGTGTATGTTTTTCTTCTGAGGTAAGCATGTTTGGGCAGGTCTTCAGGCACTGTAATTTGCCGAGGCTCCCCTGAGAAAGAAACAGCTCCTCTGTGGGGTGGCTCCCATGCTGAGTGTGCCCTGCTGGCCTCTCTCCACCCCCAGTTTGTCTCTCCCTCTCCTCTTCCTCACAGCATCTGTGGTCAGATGCTGAGAAGCAGGGACAGGGCTTCGAAAAAGCTGGCTCAGCAGAGGAGGCGGAGAGCCAACTGATGCCAGTATTACTATTCTTTCAGAATTGATGGATGAGACGATTATAAAATTGCAGAGGGAAGTGAAACTTAACAGAATCCGTGTTTTAATTGCATTCTGGGTTTCTTTCAGCAGCCAGCTTCTGAGGTGCAGGACAGATAGAGCATTTTTGTGAGGCTGTTGATGTAGACTGCACAATGTATTGTTTGTAAAGAAAGCAAAAGAAAAAGCTTGGACCAATCTGTTTTTCACACTCTGGTGCTCTCAGTCGTCTTCAGTTGTACCGCATGGTGTAGCAGGCAGTGTCTAGACAGTAAATCAGATCTGAAATACTGTCCCAATGCAGCTAGAGGGGAAAAAAAAAAAAAAAAGCATGCAAGCACCTGTGGTGTTGGGGTGCCCAAGCCTACGAAGGATACCTAGGTGCTGGAGTTGTAGTTTCCCCTGTGCCCTTCACTCTCATGGAGAGGAATGAGGATGTTGGAGCCGTTTGGCTTGCGGTGACTGGCAGTGTGGATCTGTGTCTCCTTCATGCTGCATGTCAGCCTTCTGGCACTGACACCCACTTGCCTCTAACTTGAGGAAGATCCTTTTTCAGCCGATGAAGCACCCTCCTATTCAGTCTGTGAGTAACGCTCCTAAGTGGATGGCCTGCCTTACAATGGAAGGGCTCTTGCATTTCTGTTTATACCCTTCCTTCTTGTTTTCCTTGTTATAACTCCTGTGACTGTTAGGCCTTCCTGGTCCTGGGGAGTGTTTGCACTAAATGTCAGGTGCAGACACGTGTCGTTCATGAACAGGGGTGGAAGCTGCACATACGCTGCACCCACTGGAGCTGCTTCTGCCCCAGTTGGGTCCATTCCTGGTCTGTTGTCACTGGTACAGCTCCCTTTGGCTCATGGATCTGGTGTTTGAACCCCACAGTGTGCAGAGAAGGTCCAGCCAGTATGCAGTGAAGTGTGTTTGTAGGCTCTTCATGAGGCAGCGGTTCATTTTTACTTGATGCCTTTGCCAAATGTCATTCAGTAATTTGGGTAGGCCGGCTTGCACGATTAGTGTCTTTGTGCCAGTTTGTGCAGGCCTGATAGCCACTGTGGTCAAATGGTTTCCTCCAAGCAGAAGTAGTATATTTGGGTGGTTTGCAAAGAAAAGGGGAAGGCTATGACAGCAGAAACATAATGGTTATGATTTTAGGCATAGTGGATGTCGGTGGAGGCAGTGGATAGCTGACTTCTAATGAGTGCTATCTTGAAATTATGGCCCAGACGTTTGTGTGCTGCATGAGGTTTTCTCAGGGACAGGTGTTTTGCTTGAGTATACTTCATCCAGGATTGGACCAAAACACTCTCCATCCAGTTTAGTTTTTCTTCAGTTTTTAACAAAGCCAGTTTTCTTGATAATATTTTTCCCTAGCCTTTCTTTCCTCTGGAACTGAGAACTTTTCTGCACAGCCTCCTTAACCCAAACATAACTTGCCCTAATTGTGCATATTTAGAAAAAGTACATGTGTAGGTGGTTTTGTTAAGGAGAAAGCATCAGCCTTTTCTCTTGCCTCCTCCTCCTGCTTTCTCTCAAAAGCTGAGAAGGAGACACCTTTCAAGATGTTTCTGTTCAGGAATGGGTTCTTAATTAAAGTCCCAGTCTTACGAAGGCCTGGCATCTTCAGCAGATGAGCCTTCTGCTCCCATCAGCTGCAGATGAAGCTGCGTAAGAGGAGGTATGCTTATGGGCTTGGAGCCCCTGTTTCTAAAAGTGAGTAATTTGGGGTGGAGATGGCCTTCTGCCTGAGTGCTTTAGCATGCCTGTTATCTCCACATCTCTCTCCAGAAGGACTGGGCTGTGAGGAGCCTCCCCCATTTTCCCCTGCTTATCTCCCTGGGGCAGTGCCTGTATTGAGTGGTGAGGTTTAGAAATTAGTTCCTCTTGCTGCGTTTCCTGCTCTGGTGTTGGTTGGTATTTTAATGGCTTCAAGCCAACATTAGGAAGGGTAGTACACCAAAGAGCTGGACTGCTGGGAGAGGAAAAGTTTATTCAGTTCTCAAAGCTGGTGTCCTCACAGGCGGCAAAATGGGCTTCTGAAATGTAGTTGCAATCCCTGTGAGTTACAGAGGCGCCTTAGCTGAGCAGGCAGTAAGTAATGAAGGTGAGCAGCAGATCACGACGGCCTTCTGTCATCCTAAAGGACCTGAAATTTTTGCAGTGTTTACTCTGAAAATACTCTCTCTGCCTTTCCAGAAGTGCACTGTTTACACACGCACAAGTGTTGAGATTTTGCAGTGTACGTGCTTGCATTGTTTGTGCTTTGGGCACAGCTGGTAATACTGATAGTAGGATTTCTATTGTACAAACACTTGCTGTGTAGAAGCTAGAGATTTCTTGAGAGTGGCAATGGAAGCCCAGCAATCCTCCCTTCTGCGAGGAGGGGAACCGCTGGCGGTTGAGCTGTGCTCAGCAATGCACGTGTGCATGGTCACAGCAGGACCGGGGGTGCTGAAGTGCCGGTATTGTTATTTGGAATATTTAAATTCCTTAAGGTTTTTTTCCATAGCAATACTTTCCAGATAAAATTATTTAAAAGTAGACCTGAATTATGCTATTGTACAGATGCTTGGGAGCCTGTTTTCTTCTTTTTGGCACGGTAGATCTGTTAACATCAGTGACTACTACAGCAAGTTGCTTGTCCAGGTATAGCTTGTCTTCGCTTTTGTGGGATCAAAACACATTCGGTATTTTTGGAGCCGATTCTTGCAGGATTTCCTTTTGTTTGCTGAACTGTTCTGTATGCCAGTTTCCCTGTAAACGTTATGAGAATTGGCAGTGTGGGCCTGATGCCAAGGTTAGGGGCCTAATAAAGATAAATTTCTTTATTTTGGAAACTCTTGCTATCCACACTTCTCCGATAGGGCGGTAATGATGTTTCACAGAAGTATGCCTTTCTCATAGTTCGATTTCAAAGTGCTCTGATGGGGTCCATCCACAGCCTCAGGCACAGCAAGTGATGCACAGGAGACAGGGACAGAGACGGGACTGGGGACGTGGCTGCAAGCATGAGCCTGAGGTCCATCTAGGGACAGGGCTGGAGAACAGTACTGCTGTGACATCCCTGGAGCAGTGAGTGATGGTCCTGGAGGGACTAAAGCAAAGTCCTGTTTCTATTTTTTTAAGTGTCAATGCAGCGCTGTATCTGTTCTGCTGTGTTGCTTTATTCAGTGTTTCATTTTAGGAGACCTGAAGGTATGTTGCTGTAGCTGAACACCACCTCCTCCGTAAGATCCCTGCAGTTGCAATATCTGGCTGTGTCATATGTGCAGAGCTAGGGACAGAAGTGCTCGTAAGCTGTGGGATTGCTTAGGCTCCCGATAACATGGCTGTGCTCAGCAGGCTGCTGCCCACTGCCACAAAGCGTGACGTACGTAGTGTTGTCACACCGAGGTTATTTCAGAGGAACATGGAAGCTTTGTACCCAGGGCTGTGCAATCTAAGGGCACATTGTTCAAGCTGGAGAGATGCTTGATGAGAGGCCAAGATGGGTTATTTGCATTACTGATGAGTTGATTAGTAGATGGTATTTGTGGATCTCATTAGAGACCCGTGGAAGATTGGGATCAAACAGAAAGGGGGGTCTGGATGGGTGTGGGGTTGTGTGTTTATGTGTGTAATGGGGAAGGGAAGCAGGAAAATGCCAATTATGGCATGTGCTCTCAAATGCAAACAAAGGCAGCCATTACACACTTTCCACAGAGGCTCAGATGCTCCTCGGTATTGGTGTCACTGTGGGTCAGCAGCGTACTCCAGGGCCATAGGAAGAGTGCAGGGGGATCTGATCATAATCCTCTGAATGTCAGTTTAGAACTGATGATTGGCTTCCTTTGTGTAGAAATATCTTTATTTTTAGAGGTGAAATCAAAGGGCCACGCCCTTTGGTCCAAAACTATTTAGTCTTAATATTTTTTGAATGCTCAGCTGACTAAATTAGTTCAAATGGAAAATGCTTTTTTCCAAACCAGAAAACTTCCACGAAAAATCTTTTCCACCCGTTTTTAAATTTCACAGCAACATACAAAAAGATCCCTCTTCTCTGCTTCCTTCTCTCACCCTCTTTTTTCTGTTTCAGTGGCAAAATAAGAAAAGTAAAAGGTTGAAGAAAAGGTTTTATATGGACACACACATGTATGCATGGAGGAAAACCCAAAATATATGGATGTTTTTGACTTAACAAGAAAAGGCTAGTAAAAATCAGTGATTTATGTAAATTTGCTTTTAAGAAAAAGATGCATTTAGCAACTTGCTGTAATTTTGCAAGTTCATAGAATGGTTTGGGTTGAGAATGACCTTAAAGATCATCCAGTTCCACTCCCCCTGCCATGGGCAGAGACACCTCCCACTAGCCCAGGTTGCTCAAAGCCCTGTCCCACCTGGCCTTGAACACTGCCAGGGAGGGGCAGCCACAGCTTCTCTGGGCAACCTGTTCCTGTGTCTCGCCACCCTCACTGTAAGGAATTTATTCCTTATATATAATCTAAACCTACTCTTTTTCAGTTTAAAACTGTTATGTCTCATCCTATCATTACATTCCTGAGAGTCCCTCCCCACCTTTCCTGTAGGTCCCCTTTACGTACTGGAAGGCTGCTATAAGGTTTCCCCCAAGCCTTCACTTCTCCAGGCTGAACAACCTCAACTCTTGCAGCCTGTCCTCATCAGGGAGGTGCTCCAACCCCTCGATCATCTTTGTGGCCTCCTCTGCACGTGCTTGAGCAGGTCCATGTCGTTCTGATGTTGGGGGCCCCAGAGCTGAACACAGCACTCCAGGTGGGGTCTTGTAAGAGCAGTGTAGAGTGGCAAAATCCCCTCCCTTGACCTGCTGGCCACATTTCTCTTGATGCAGCTTGGGATGTGATTGGATTTCTGGACTGCGATCGCACATTGCTGGCTCGTAGTCAGTTTTCCATCCACCAGTACCCCCAAGTTCTTCTCCTCAGGGCTGCTCTCAATCCACTCATTGCCCAGCCTGTATTTGTGCTTGGGATTGCCCTGACCCATGTGCAAGACCTTGCACTTGGCCTTGTTTGCATGGACCCACCTCTCAAGCCTCTCAAGATCCCTCTAGATGGCATTCTCTTTCCTTCAGCGTGTCGACTCGCCACACAGCTTGGTGTTGTCAGCAGACTTGCTTAGGGTGCACGTGATGCCACTGCCCAGGTCATCAGTGTTAAACAGCACTGGTCCCAACTCTGACCCCTGAGGAACACCACTCGTCCCTGGTTTCCTTGGACATTGAGCTGTTCACTGCAAGTCTTTGAGTGTGACCATCAAGCCAATTCCTTATCCACCGAGTGGTCCATCCATCAAATCCACGTCTCTCCAATTAAGAGACAAGGATGTCATGTGGGACAGTGTCAGGTGCTTTGCACAAGTTCAGGTAGATTATGTTCAATTACTTTTCCTTCATCCACCAGCACTGTAACCCCATCATAGGAGGCCACCATATTTGTCAGGCATGATTTGCCCTTAGTGAAGCTATGTTGGCTGTCACCAATCACCTCCTTATTTTCCATGTGCCCTAGCATAGTTTCCAGGAGGATCCACTCCATGATCTTGCTGGGCATAGATATGAGACTGACTGCTTTGTAGTTCCCTGGGTCTTACTTTTTTCCCTTTTAAAAATTGAGGTTGTTTCCCCTTTTCCAGTCGGTGGGAACTTTGCCAGACTGCTACAACTTCCCAAATACAGTGGATGGTGGCTTAGCCACTTTATCTGCTAGTTTCCCTCAGGATCCATGGATGCATTTCATCAGGTCCCATGGATTTGTGCACCTTCATGTTCCTTAGATGGTCACAAACCTGATCTTCTCCTACAGTGGGTGGTTCTTCATTCTTCCAGTACCTGCCTTTGCCTTCTGTGTCCTGGATGGTGTGACTGAAGCACTTGGCAGTGAAGGCTGAGACAGAAAGGTCATTTGAGATAGAAAGGACTGAGGCTGAGTCCCTCAGCTTTCTCCATATCCTGGGTATCCAGGTCTCTTGTTTCCTTACAGAGAGGGCCTGCATTTTCTTTAGTCTTCCTTTGTTCACCAATGTACCTGTAGAAGCTTTTTTTGTTGCCCTTGACATTCCTGGCCAGATTTAATTCTGTCAGGGCTTTGGCTTTCCTAATGTGATCCCTGACTGCTCAGACAGTTCCTCTGTATTCCTCCCAGGCTACCTGTCCTTTCTTCCACCCTCTGTAGGCTTCCTTTTTGTGTCTGAGCTTGTCCAGGAGCTACTTGGTCATCCATGCAGGCCTTCTGGTGTTCTTGCATGACTTTCTTGGGCCCCTCTTCCCTTCAGAGCTTTGCCCCACGCTACTCTGCCAAGCAAGATCCCTGAAGAGGCCAAAGTCTGCTCTCCTAAAGTCCAGGGTAGTGAGCTTGCTGTATGCTCTCCTCGCTGCTTTAAGGATCTTGAACTCCACCATTTCATGGTCACTGCAGCCAAGGCTGCCCTTGAGCTTCACACTCCCCACCAGCCCCTCCTTGTTTCTGAGAACAAGGTCCAGCACAGCACCTCCTCGTTGGCTCCTCTATCACTTGGAGAAGGAAGTTGTCATCAACGTATTCCAGGAACCTCCTGGATTGTTTATGCCCTGCTGTGTTGTCCCTCCAACAGATACCATGGTGGTTGAAATCCCCCATAAGGACAAGGACTTGTGAAAGTGAGGCTGCTCCTGTGTGTCCTTAGACGGTCTCATCTGCTTAATTCTTTGGTCAGGTGGCCTGTAGCAGACCCCCCAGTATAACATCTCCTGTCCCTGCCCTCCCTTTAATCCTGTCCCATAAGCTCTTGGTTGGCTCCTCAACCATCCCCAGGCAGACCTCCATGCACTCCAGCTGGTCACTGACATAGAGGTCACTGACAAAGTAATTCCACTTTGTATTCTGGTAGTACATAAATGTAGGTTTGATTCTCCACTTTCTTCCCTTTGTTTATGCTTTTCTAAATACAGCATGGTTGCATTGATTTAAAACTAGTCTAGGGTATTGGATAGCCATGTGCAATTATTTTTCTGTTAGCTCACTAGCTGCTTTTTTTTTTTTTTTTTTATTAGTACCACAGGTAGTGGCAACTCCTAGCTCTGCAGTGTGTGGTGCACTTCTTTGAGTGGCCTGACCTGCCTGCTGCTTAGCTGTCCCTGCATCGAAGTGCAGGAGCCTCTCTTCTCCATTTGTTTCGTGACACACGGGTCTGAGCAAAAGCCACCAACTGCTTTCAGAGGGTCTGAAGCTGCTGGTGTAATATGCTGCATATTCTTGAAATGTATCACCTTCCCCCTTTTCCAAATCAAATCAAAGAGGGTAATGTGCAGATCCTGTTTTATTTCAGCATGACTTGCTTATTTGGTGGAGAGGACACAGGAAACACATGTAGTCACCTAGGTGGATGAAACCATCTTTGAGTGTTTCAGTAACGTCACACATGACAAATTATGAGCTTTTGTGTGAAATAACTGTGCTTCTTTCAAGAAAGGAAAATCCTTGACTACTTTTAAAAGCTTTTGGGAAATTGTGAGTTAAATAACTACCTCTATGACCACATTAACATTTTATTTTCTTGCCTCTTCTCTGATTGCAGGCAAGATAAGCAGGCAACAAGCTAAAAAGGGAAAAAAAAAAAAAGTAGATAAGTTATCGGTTAGTTTGTTTGGTGTT